AGAAAATTTAATGGGATAAAACTTTAGGGGAGGAAAAAAAGTACCACACACTCCAAATTACAATTGAAACTTAAATAAGAAATGAGTTTCATAAACCTGTTTCATATAAATTTTTCTCATTGAAGTAGTGCAGGTGTTTCATGTAAATGTTTCTCATTGAAGTAGTGTAGGTTCGAACGGATAATATCTCATAAATTGAATTTTCTGTTATGCATACAGTTGGTTTTGATAATATGCATTTTGAAGTTGATTTACAATATCTGAGAGCCTGTAAGTAAACTCAATAGAGTTATAAGCATATAGAATAAGCAAATCTCATTCCATTTAACATGAAATTCAAAATCCTGATTATGCACCACTTCTTACAAGCTTTCAAAACTAGAAACTTCAAGTCTGAATTAAGTTTGTCTTCTTTTTGCATATGAAATTGAGCATTTCAAAGTCCTTGTTGCCACAATAGAGGCACCTAGAATGCTGGATTTTCCCTTTGGACTACAAAGTAATTTTATTTTATCACATCATATTTAGTTCACCCCAATATCTTACCTAAATTAGAACACTTAAACCAAGAAGCATCCATAAGAAAAAGCAGCTTCTCATCTAATACAAACAAGCATTAAAATTTTATTTACTCTAAGCATTCACTGTTATATTATCGCAGTAGATCTTGCAAATAGTTTGCTAATAGGTTAATCATACTATACGAGCACGCTGACTTGATCACATAGCATTTCACATTATGTGACAGTTGATTTATACAGGCCACCTCAATTAATTTAAGAGGAATACTCTTACTATATTTGTATACCACATTCTTATACTATTTTATGTGGCAGATAAAGTAAACAACCACATCAATTAAAAAATATAAATAAATCAAAAAAGAAAAGAAAAGAAAAAATTAATTTTAATTAATGTGATTGTCCACCTCATCTGTCGCATAAATGAAACTAAGCATTCCAAAGTCCATTTGACAAAATCATCAATAAAAAAAAAAAATTAGGATCAGGTTTTGAATTCGGTTAGAATGTTGTGCAAACAATCACAATCACAATCACATTCACTCCAATTTCATATATGATTTTTTTTCGTCTTCCAATTTTATATATGTTAGTGTCACTGTGTATCTGGGACGTCAAAATCAGAAACAAAATTAACAATTGAAAAGTAAATAAAAAATAAATAAAACCCTTTTAAATCACAATCAGTTTATTTTTCTTTTGAGAAATTTAACATTTTTATATTCCAACCCCAGGCCTAGAGCTGTTTGTAATGGCCCAATGGGCTAAATGACTTTTTCTGTGTTTGGGCTTCCTTCCCAAACTTCGCCGCTCGCAAATCCTCTTCACCGGTTCCAACTCGGCCGACTCGGTAATCCCCCAGCCTCATCTCCTCGTTCTCCTCCACCGTCTTCTCCGGCCAGGCCGACTCCGGTCGCAGCTTCTAGAATCTCTACGTGGGTCTTTTCAACAAAAATTTGCACCAACAAACTCATCTTCGTTACTAAATTAGGGTTAGGGTTGGTCCGCGTTTTGTTGAAAGAGGTAAACCTCCCTTATCATTCTACTAGCACAACAGCTTGAATTGAACACTTGATTCTTGACCTCATTATAATCTCGGTATATTTTGTTTTTATGTCATTAGAATGCCCAGAATTGCCTTGCCAGTTGCAGAACAGAAGCCATTGACAAGGATGCCATTTACAGGTCTGAATAATTAAGCCCCTGCTTGACCCTCTCTCCCGTTCTATCTCTTCAGTAAGTATGCTTTCTTTTTGTTTTTGTTAATTTCTTGTTCTCGTGGTTATTTTTCCAGGCACTTTTCTTAGCATGTCAAAATTTAGTGAAGGAACTATATTCTGGCTTTGGAATAAAAGAATTACATTTGCACAAGAGTTTCTGTCTACAAACTCCGACACCTAGCTAGAAGGTAATGACACTAAATTTTTGGCAACAGTTCAGTTTTTAGCCGAACTAAACCTAGCTGGAGAACTTCTAAAAGCTAAACATCTGTTTCCAAAAATTTAGTGTTCAAGGGCAGTGGTGTTGTGTGCAAGATAATCTGGCAGCCTCCATGGTATTGGTAATAGTGATAGATCAAGTCCTTGTCCGATTCCTCTCCCTAATTCCGTATACTATCGTAGAAGAGAGTGTGGGTTTTGATCTTCAACCCTAATGATTATCCATGGCAGCATTTAGCTTTAGTAATTTGCTTGGGTAAAGTGTAAGTTGAATGTTATTTCAAACTGAGCTTTGAACATGTTCTTCAAGATGGGGAAGGAAAATTACTAGATAACATATTCCTTCCCAATACAGGCAGGCTTCTGTGTTTTTTCAGGTTTTAAATGACTTTCAGTTGTTAGTGTAGGACTAAATCTGTTGCAAGCATCACATGCAGTATAACGTAGCGTTAGTGTACTTAAGGTTATTTGACCAAGGCTTGGCGCTTGTATTGACTCAGCTGTTTATGCATGCTAACCCTGATCACTTAGGCGCACAGACACAAAAACCGTTTATCCTTTGTATAATGATTGAGGTTTTAAAAAATTCTATAGCTGTTCTTTGAGTGCACCCTTTCCTACCATGTTTGTATAACTTATATGTCATCCTCGGATAACAGAGTATTTGAAATCTTAGGGACACATTATCAGTAGCATATAGTCATATATTATGCTTCAGTAAATTTTGCGTTGATTGCTATTCCAAACTGAGCTTTTAACATGAGTGTCAAGTTACAGAGGGAAATTTTATAGAGCAAAATTTTCCTTTCGACTTAGAAATCGGAATATCTGATATTGACCTCATATTTCCGTATAAAACTTGTCAATGGGAAAGGAATTTTCGGTTTCTATCTAATGTTGTAGTGAATCCAATGTGGAGCATAATGGATGGCGGAAGGTACACAGCGCATGATGCTCAGAGGTAGCATCCCTAGGATTACATGGTATATTCCACCTCAGCTGGCTTTGGAAATTCTGAGGGACCATTTCAAATTTTCAATGAAGGATTAAGCAATGATAACATGCAAGAAGTTGCTACCATCCATGTCTGTAGAAGTCTTTACAAAGGAGAGCAAGAGGAACTTACTGGATTTTTTCCCATCATGTCCAGTTTGTTGGTCGGTATTTTGTAATATTTTTCATGTAAACTGTGTATATAAACATAAAAGAATAAAGGGAGGTTTATGTTTTCTTGTTTTCCGAACTTTGTTGTCCAAAATTTCTTTGTTCGAGGAGTGGTTGAAGCGTTTAAAAGTCTGCCAACTTTTAGCGGCGCTTTTTATCTTCGCTAGTAAAAGTTGTATTTCCCACGGTTAGCGACGGTTTTTTCCGTTTCTAAAAGCATTTTGCAAATTTGGGACATTATTTTCGTCACTAAATGTGACAAAACCGCTGCCAACCGCTGCTAAATCCTAAAAACCGTCGATAAAAGAATACAACTGCCACATATCAGTTGAAAAAGTGTATTTCTTTATGTTTCCAGGGACGTTTGTTTAATTCTCCAAAACTACTACTGGCAACTGGGTAAATCAAGTATAAGCCACGATAATCCTAATTCCACCAAAGCAATCCAACATTGTAATAATGGAGAAGCAAACTGATTATTACAAAATGAAGTAGTCGAAGAGAAAGGTCAAGCGACAATTGCCACATTGAGCATTCTGTTTTGCTTTATGGTTTTTCAGTAAGAGAAGCCTTTCAGTGAGAAGGCAGAACCTCTAAATCCTCTTGCCTTGAGCATTCTGAGAGCATTTAAGATATGGTTTATATGGTATTCTGTGAATGCGTGTTTAATATAGATATGGTAACATCAAGGTAGCTCCCTGGTTAGTCTAGAGACATTCATTTAGGACAACTTCTGCATTCTTTCTAATCGATTCAACATTTTCCCTTATTCATGAACCGAAATGTTTGCCCTTTTAGAACGACTCTCATCAAGAAAATTCGTTGCACCTGCAAGGGTTTGGTGTTAAACTCTTTTCTGTCAATATTATAGCACATTCTCATTCTGGTCAAGTCTCATTATTATTGATGACTATGATTATGTCAAGATTAATTGAATTCCAATGTAAACAGGCAGATAAGAATGTACGTTTGAAGATAAAATTACTGTCAAAATAATTGCATTTGTAAACCTTGCACATCCAAGTCATTTGCTAGCAACAGCAAAGATTTGTGCTGAACTGGTTTTCACTTCCAAACATGCCTGCTAATAATAACTCTCTTTTCAACTGTGAGATTGATTTTCTGTATCTGGAAACACACACCTCATTTTGTACACCGTTTTTAAAAATTTCACATGAGGAAATGTTTTGCCATTGCAGCATTAAGAACATCACTTTAAAATCATTCTCACTCAAAATTTCAAGTCCAGCTTTTTATTATTTCTGTTCTTTCCTTCGGTACTTATCTTCTATATATATAAAGCAAAAGGCAAAGAATGGTAAAACATTCAAAATACCAAAAAATGCCCTTAGTTAATGCAAACATTAAAGTATAACATATTATTTGATTTTGTTTTTAATTTTATTTTTTTAATATAAAAAATGTGAATTTACAATATTATTCTCATTTAATTAATAATTTTAATTCTTAATGTTTGAATTAATCAAGGGCATTTTCTGGTATTTTGAATGTTTCACCATTCTCTGCTTTTTACTTTATATATATAGATTAATTGCAAAAGAATATAAATAATAAGTTATATATATTTAACATGCTCCCTCTACCTGAGAAATGCCACCCAAGAGAGTGCAACTGTTCGGAACCCATGGAGCTGCCCAATAGGAGGCGCCCACATGTCAGGTAGACAAAATAGACGTTGGAGAGAGAAAAGTATAAAAATTGGTTGTAGAAGCCTGTTTTTGGAGGTCTCATATATTCTCATTCGTCCCCGGGGTTTTTGCTTCGTTGTCACTTGTCACAATCATCCAAATTTCTCAAGCCACAGAGAGAGAGAGAGAGAGAGAGAGAGAGAGAGAGAGAGAGAGAGAGAGGGAGCATGGAGAACCATGAGCAGATGGAGAAGAACGAGGTGGGGCCCATGGCTATAGAGGCGGAGGAGGAGGCCGGAGAGGTGGGGTCCAGCTTGACCCTGGAGAGGGTGGCTGCAGCCAAGCAGTTCATAGAGAGCCACTACAAGGCTCAGATGAAGCACATCCAAGATCGTAAACAAAGGTATGAAAATCATTTCCTTTTGTTTATACTATTTCCAAGGATCTCTCTCTCGCCTTGCCCAGTTTTGGTTTCAATCTCTAGCTTTCCAGTCCTTGCAATCCCAGCTGGTGTATTTGTGATTTTCGTGATCAAATTTGGTTTTTTGTTTCTGGGTATTTAATGTTTTTTTGGTTTAGGAAAGAAAGCTTCGAATTTTGTAGGGAAATGAGGGTGCTTGGACATGCATTCCTTGAAAGAGTTGGAATTTGTTTGGTGTATGGGAAATGGGGCTCATAAGGATATTCTAAATCAGTGTGCTCTTGGTTTTATGAGGTAAAGGGGAGTGCATTATCTTAAGGAGAAGAGACCATTATAGTTTGTTAAGGAGTGGGATAGATTTTCCTTTTTTTAAAACTCATTTCGGATTTTGGTCTTTCGGAATGCGCATGCTTGCATGAACTGAAAGTATTATTGTTTAATTTATGTTTATCGCCAAGTCGAACTGTGTTTAGATTTTCTGAAGTTGGCCCCCTGATGTCGAGAAAATATAAACCTTCTAAGAAATATCATCCATAATAAATTTTTGAATGCTGAATGACATTTTCAAATTAGTAAAGAATTGCCTAGTGATGGTTATGAGTTATGAAGCTTCTTAGATATATTATCCGCAAATCCTTAGTTGGAAAAGTATGTGGTTATATGATTGTTAATATTTTAACCACCTTAGAAGTAATGAATGGGGTGCAACTGTGAACAAAGCGAGAAAGTCATTAAGTGTACATATATGAGGCAGTTTTGAATTTTGAATATGTTTCTTGTTTTCTTCTATTTTTTTAGAGTTCAATAGTTGCTCATAGTTGTGATGTGCCTTCACAACTGATAATTAAAGTAAAATTGGCAATGATTAGATCATTAAGGCTTTTGATCTTGATACGCGCCCTCACATGTTTTTACTGTTTCCAGGCGCTCAGTGCTGGAAAAGAAGTTGGCATCTGAACGTGTGCCAGAACAGGAACAGATCCATATGTTGAAGGATTTGGAGCGCACAGAGACTGAATACATGCGCCTTAAAAGGCACAAGATTTGCGTTGATGATTTTGACCTTCTGGCAATAATTGGGAGAGGGGCCTTTGGAGAGGTTAGAGACATGCATATTTCTTATAGTTTCATAGGTGCTTGGTTTAAAAGATTATTATTTCCCCTCTTAAACATTCTATACAGAGAAAGTGAGTATAAGCTTATTTCAGCTACCTGTGAGTTGTTTATTGTTACAGTATGCTGATCATTTCTAACACAAGTATGATGGTTATTTGTTTCCTTTTCTTTGTTGTAGTTTTTGTATATTCTGTTTGATACTTCCTTGATTAAGAACCTTTATATAAAACTTTATAGGTTAGACTCTGTCGGGAGAAGAAATCTGGCAACATTTATGCCATGAAAAAGTTGAAGAAGTCAGAAATGCTCAGTAGGGGGCAGGTATAATATGATAGATTTAGAGTTGATATAAATTTTAACTTCTATTGAAGGTATTTTAAACGTGCGTGAATCTATGCACTCACTGGTTGTCTATCTGCAACGTAGGTTGAACATGTTAGAGCTGAAAGGAATTTGCTTGCAGAGGTTGCTAGTCACTGCATTGTGAAACTCTACTATTCCTTTCAAGATGCTGACTACTTGTATCTAATCATGGAGTATCTACCTGGTGGTGACATGATGACTTTGCTTATTAGGGAAGAGACTTTGACTGAAACTGTTGCAAGATTTTACATTGCCCAAAGTGTTATGGCTATAGAATCTATCCATAAACATAACTACATTCACAGGTTGGTTTATCCAGTTGTTTACAGGCTTGCCAACATATCAGAAGCTGGATTCATTGAACAGCATTATATTAATAATTGTACATCAGGAACAAAACCTAACTCTTGCATTTGTTGCATCTATATTTTCAGAGACATAAAACCAGACAATCTTCTGTTAGACAAAAATGGTCACATGAAGCTCTCTGATTTTGGTCTTTGCAAGCCTCTTGACTGCTCAAATTTGTCATCCATAAATGAAAATGAAGTACTAGATGATGAGAACCTACATGAGACAATGGATATTGATGAATCCTACCCAGAATCCAAAAATGGGAGGCGCTGGAAAAGCCCGCTTGAGCAACTTCAACATTGGCAAATAAACAGAAGAAAACTGGTATGAAAATGATATTTTCCTTTATCTTCTAATGTGGCATTTCACATCTCTTAGATTCTTAACTAATAAAGTGCAAGCAACAGATACAGATGTTTGCTATTTGTGTATTATGATAATTAACACTGCATGGATTTAAAGATAGATTATTTAATGTCACTCAGAGTCGTATATGTAATTATGTGTCCACACTGTTACAAAAGTCAAGTAGATCAAGATCAGAGAGGCTATATTAACCTTACCAGAAATGGTATATTTCTGAAATGACCTTCAGTACAGTAGTTCATTTTAAATAAGGATATATAAAGCATGGTTCAGTGGAAAAAATGTATGGTTCTGTTTGAGGGACATCAGAGTATATAATCATAGTTTTCACAACACAGCAGACATTTACATTTTCTTTGTTATTTGATCAGTCAATTTCCTGGTTGAAGAGTTTAATGTTATGAATGCATTAAAGTTCTTGTGGTAGTGTGTTTTGGCAATTTCAAGGATATTGGTCCTAGAGATCTTTGTTTTTCTGATCATAGTCATATTACTTTGTTCCAATGATAGGCATTCTCAACAGTCGGAACTCCGGATTACATCGCTCCAGAAGTATTGTTGAAGAAAGGATATGGCATGGAGTGTGACTGGTAAGTCCATACAATTAATGTTTAAGAGGGAAAATAATATTGTAATTGTGTTTTTCAGTGAAGATCTTTGCAGTGTTATTGGATTGCTATAGTAGCTAAAATATGGTATGCTAAACTTCATTGTGAATTCTATTATCTTACTGAATTCCTTCCTGGTTGTAGGTGGTCACTTGGTGCAATAATGTATGAGATGCTTGTTGGTTATCCCCCATTTTACTCTGATGATCCAGTGACAACATGCAGAAAGGTTGATTTACAATGAGTATATGTTTTGGTTATATTTTCTAATTGAAGTATGTGATATCTCATAGCTTTCGATTCATCTTCTTCTATGTTGTTGGGTTCCCACAATCATTAGATTGTAGTGAGATTAATTTCAACATAATTCTTCAGGTTGCTTTTGTCTTACACGTTCTTTTTTTTCTTTCTAAAAAGTTCTATGTATAAATTATTTTTGAAGCACTAACATTTGCAAAATTGTACAATTCTTACCTGTCATGGCTACTGAAGAAGCTTTGAGTTGATTTCTTTATGCAATTGTGATGTTATGTCTTACTAAAGTTTTATTATTAACCTAGAACACTCATGTATAACCTGACATGTGGAACAATCTATGCTAGATTGTACATTGGAAAAATCACTTAAAATTTCCAGTGGAGGCAAGGTTGACACCTGAAGCAAAGGATCTGATCAGTAGGTTCCTTTGTGATGTTGAAAATAGGCTTGGTAGAGCAGACCAAATTAAGGTATTTTAACTCTCTTTCAGATGACTTTTACCCTCATACTGTTACGCATTTTCTTAATCATATAAGTTTGTTTTAAATTTGTTCAGGCTCATCCTTGGTTCAAAGATATTGCTTGGGACAAACTTTATGAGGTGGAGGCAGCATTTAAACCAGAGGTCAATGGGGAACTCGATACTCAAAATTTTATGAAGTATGATGAGGTGAGGTGTTAAGCACACTCCTGTCTTTCTTTATTTATTGGTAGTGAGTGAAGTATTAGTTTGTTTTACCTTTGTGTCTTAAATTCAACTGCGCTCTAGGTGGATCCACCAGCAACAGGAAGAACAGGATCTGGACCAATGAGAAAGGTATGCTTTTCATAGCCGAAAGAGTACAAAGACTTAAAGTGGCATAATGTTAATTTATGATCTGGTGATGGCTATTCCCACTTAAAATCTTAAAAGGGTACATTTGAGATGTTGGTTTAGTAAATCAAGATTTATGTCATGCACATAGTATTTCATACTGTAGAAGGCATATTCATAATTCAATGGCCGATTCAAAGGTAAAATTTGGTAAAAAATTGGAAGGCAGGTTTGAACTCACTATAGATGGATTCCTATACAATAGTGGGGTCCAAGGTCATTGATGTTAATGGAACTTGGTCTTCTTAAATACTTTTGATCATTTTTTTCTGATGCCATTATGAGATTCTTTTTCTTTAGATATTTTGGGTTTGTACTTTATACTAGTCCTCTAACTTTCTCTGCAGATGTTGTTGACTCCTAAAGATCTAAGTTTTGTTGGCTATACATACAAGAATTTTGAGGCTGTCAAAGGGTTACATCAATCTTCTGGTATGGGATGTCATTCTACCGAAGTACATTTTTGACTTTTCTCTTTTTCCTTTTGTTTTTCTTGATGCAACGCACTACAAAGTTTTAATGTAACGAGCAACACTGTTTGCAATCTGCTAAATTTCCTTGATTATGTTCATTATTGTTGCCAAAAAAAAATCTCTCTTTTTAATTATTAACTCATTCAATGATTACAGATCTAAACAGGAGTGCATCACTGAACCGATCATCTATTGACTCTTCTCAAAGTAATGCATCTTGAACTGAACTTGCCTCATCAACTGTCATTTTCATGTTTAATATTGAGTTGCCCTATGCTAATTGGTGATGTTCCTGTCCAGGTGATTCGGCACTGGACTACTCCACTAGGTATTCATACAGCGACATGGAAGCTCAGGTGCTTGCTGCATCAGAGGATGTCATGTCAGAGTGACTCATAGCATCCAGTGTAACAGGCGGACAAGGCCCTTGTATGAACATGTTGGGTATGCCTGCTTGTTTTTGGGTCAGGTTTTGCCCCAGTCACCATGATCAACACAGTTGACTGCTACATCTTGCAGAACTTCTTCTAAGTGTACAGAGTAATATTGAAGACACTTCAAGATGACCCGTGGATCGGTTCGTTTTGTAGGAGTAGTAGTAGAGATCTTGAAAGCTTTTGTATCCAAGTAGGTGTGAGAATTTTGTCATGGTCCTGGCTACCCAGGTTGGCAAGCACAATATGCCTTCGCTTGTGGCAGTTTCCGGTCTTTCATCCTTTCTTGATTGTCTAGGAAATTATGGTGCTGTTTGTAAACAATGACCACCCTGATAGTTGGAATTGTATGGATGGCCCTGTGTGGCTTTGGTGAGTAAAACAGGAAATTAAGTTTTGATTCCTGAAGTTTGAGGATGTTCTTGGTTTTGAAAATTATAGTTAAACATCTTTTTCAACAACTGTCTGTCATTCCATGAACATCTTGATCGCAGCTGAGCGCAGTTTGGCCTCGCCATGTCTTTAAGAGACAGATATCTCATATTTGATACCATGAGCAATGCTATGGATAGTAATGTGCCCACATGCGTGGGTGGCTGTCAGCCATTGATGCAAGTAGGTACCACAACGCAATAACGGCTGACAGCCAACCCCTCGGCAACTCTTTGTGCCACTAAGACAAATCTTGATACCATTTACAAATCAAAGTGACGTTCTTTTACCGAATTAAAGCTTATGAAGACTTAGGTCACAAACTTTTGCATGTCCTTTAAAAGCCTAACCATAGAATCCGAAACACGACCACAACTCAAAAACACATGCAATGCAAACGCACGACATGGGATATTACGGATAGCGCGAGAACAGTGACATTCAAAACACATCAACGCAGTTGTTTGTTTATTCTTTCTTACGTTGTATTTGGTTGTTTATTCTTTTGTAACACATGTTCTCAAGTTCAGTGATTACATAAATTTATGGAAAACAGTGTTCAAATATTTGGCATGGTTAAAAGTTTTTAAATAGGCCACTTTAGGTGAGCATTTTATGATATTACTATAATTATTATTGACGTGTGGATTTTCTATTTACCTTTTTTGTTCTTTCCATTTCAAACCCTCAGTTTTTATTTTCTTTTTCCTTTTGGAGAAATTCAAACCTTCATTTTAATTTTTTGTGTGTTTAGTATCTGATTAGCCTACGAGAGGTTCTGGACTCGAGAAATGTACAATTATAGTTTGTCTGATTTATGTATTTAACAAATGTAGGACGATTGTTACCATAAATGATTAAGAGCAATGGTAATATCACATGGCATGTATATGCAATCACTTAAATTATTATACATTTGCTGATACTTGAACAATAAACCATATATTGAAAATCGATATGTGTTAAACTTGGAGCAGTTTCATAACATCATGCTGGCATCTCACGTGATATTACATCCGCACACAATAACATTTCCATATCACGAAGTGTTAAAATCATCTAACTTTATAAGATAAGAAGACTTCATTTCCCAATCATAATTTCAAATTATACAAGTTTAACAATAGATTCAGATTTTAATGTTAATATAGGAATTAATCATACTTTCTGCCCACCATTTCCTCTCTCCCATTGCTACTTTTTTTTCTTCATTGTCATTGTAATTTATGTCACAGGAAAATCTATAGCATGTGTGTGCAGCCTTAATTATGAAATTTTTAATATTTATTTTCACAGAATAATATTTTTAAAAATTGTTCAATAATTGTCACTTCCCAAATTCATCCCATGTGCCAATACACCTACCTACAAAATCATACATGCATATATAAATTTACATACATACCATTCATTGAAAACTCTCTCTCAGTAGCTGTTTGAGCCGGCTCGACAATGTTCTTCCCAAAGTGCCCCCACCCTCGACGCCGATTTTAATTCATTGATAAAACGAAGCATGGGCATAACAGTAACTTCACTATATCCCATTCCATTGCCGATCAAAACACAGGGCTCTTCTTCGTCCTCCATGGCTTTGTACGAACCTTCGATTTCGAGCTCCGAACTTAAACAGAACCCTCGGAATATTCAATTCCTACCCTATCATTGAATCTCCAAATTAAAGAATCGCCCTTGCTTCACCATCAGTTAGACATCATTGTCTCCGATTGAAGGTATAGATTTGAATTTAAACTTCAATTTGATTAGATTTTGGTTGATTTAACTTCTACGTGTTTATTTAGGGTTTTTATTTTTGGCGTGTGATTGAAGGTTCGTAATGCTTCATTTCTCTAGGTTTTTCGTGGATTCAACTTCTAGGGTTTCCGTTTAATATCAGAGCTATTTTTCTTGTTTTAAGGTTTTTTGTATTATTTTTATTGATGAACTCAGATTAACAGAAAAACTTTAAATTTAGGAAGCAATAAAGTAAAGGATAAATAAAAATTTAAAGTAAACCAAATTTAATGTGACTATCTGTTTGATAGGTGTAGCTTTTGTTGATTAGAATGGAGAATCCTGAGCAAAATAAAAATGTTGAAAAATAGGGGAAAAATAGTCTCATTCAGTCAAATTTTAGCGCGAAAGACCTTGAACTTAGGAGTCATACTATTACTTGGGTGAAACAGCTAGACCCACCTCCTCCCTCTAGGAAAAGAGCCAGGGAAAGAATTTTATTTCTAAAGAAGGAAAGATGATAAATGAAAAGAATGCATTTGGTGACTGTGCGGTGTCACTTTCGCAGCCTTCGATATAGCTGTGTTCATTGAATTATCTTCAGTCCTTTGTTTTAAGTTAAAATAGAATGGCAGTCAGTGTTGAATTATTCTGCTATGCTCATGGTATGTTAATTGGGCCATTGTGTAGGTGTCTGTAATAGCATGTGTTGCTCCATTTAGTGTCATCATCCATCTTATTTAGTTTTCACTGGACAATGAACTGATATTGATATTTATTACTTAGGGAGATTCAACCAGAACTCAACAATGACTTCAGTTAATTGTCAGCTTATCTGATTTTCCTAATCTAGTATTTTACTTTTTGGGTGTGTGAACGTTAGATCTGTGTGGTGTTCTTATCCTTAATGAACAGCAGTAGTAAATTGTAGAAGTAGCAGGATAGACCGGGGGGAGGAGATTGTACCAAAGGAGACCTGTTTGACTGGGCGTTTGGTTACTGTAAATTGTGCATATTTGAAGTGGAAATATTTTCTATTAACTGTGAGCTTATCTGATTTTCCTAATCCAGTTTTGACTTTTGGGTGTGTAAGTGTTTGATCCCCTTCCAAAAAGTTAATGCTTAAATCCAGGTAGTCGTAATTATATTTGTTATATATGCAACATGCCATTCATTGTGCCTTGCTCTTAATTTAATATCAATGTGATTATCGTAATAATGCTAACATTAATAGAGAACTAGAATGCTGCTTATATTTCTGATTTCTGTGCATGATTCTCATATAGCATGCACATTATTTGCATTTATTTATGAGGGTCACATGGTTTCTGGGTTGTAATGCTACATAGTATATATATTCGGGAGTGTGTTGATAATATCTCTCATGGAGTGCTTCACCCATTCTCTTTTATGGATATAATAAGATGCAGCATCTATTGCAAAGGTTAATTTATTTCCTTCTTCTTCCTTTCGGATAGGGGAGTTCACGAGATTATTTGAATCTTAGGTTCATAATTTTGTGAACCATTACTCTGAATCTGAATGGCTTATGCATAATTTTTATGAACCAATACCCTTACTCAAAATCTAAAGGATGTTGCCAATTTCTTTTACCTTTGAATAAGGAATCCATAATTTATGTGCTGTATGGTTTATGCATCTCAGTCCAATTTCTTGTTTACACGTTTTCACATCTGGCTTTTCATGATATGTATCCAATAATTTTCTCTTTTCTTGTGCGCATTAAGGATCTCAAAAAATGGCTACCCATCTCATCATAATGGAAAACTTGATTATTAATTTTGAAAAAAAAAAACAAGGATTTTGCTTCTTGTATCATGATCCTTATCTGTTTCAGGTGCACTGCCCAGTCATTGTTCTTTAGAGTTTGGGCTTTATGCGCTGTTGTGCCCATCTTTGTCATGCACCTCTGTATTTTCTGGCTTTTTGACCCGGAGAATGTGTGGAAACTGATGCAATGGCAACTTCTAGCAAGTTTGATCTCTCGTCTGGTAGCCCGGATAGACCATTATACAACAGTGGGCAGCGAGGATCCCACATAGCTGCTCCATTGGACAGATCTGGTAGCTTTCGCGAGATGGAAAATCCTATTTTATCTTCACTTCCAAACATGTCAAGAAGCACGTCTCTAATAACACAAGGAGATGTAACAAACTTCATCCATTGCTTGCGCTTTGATCCAAAATTGGTGGCTTCAGAGTACAAGTCTAACCGACAAGGGGACTTGAGAAGACTTGTGAGTGTTGCTCTTAGCATTTCACCTGATGAATCTCCATCTGGTTCTGTAAAAGGAAAACCATCTCCAATACCGGAGGATATAAAACGAGTCAAAGCTGGTCTGCGTGAAAGCTCTGTTAAGGCTAGGTAGTTCCCTGTATATTTTTCATTTTGGTTTGTAGTTGTGAATTGTAAGTTGTAATTACTCCATAACATTGAATCATTTTACAGGGAACGTGTAAAAACATTCACTGAAGCCTTATCCGTATTCAACAAGTTTTTCCCAAGCATACCATCAAAGAAGAGATCAAGAACAGAAGTTTTTTCTAATGAACGGTCTAGTGTGGTGTTATCGAGTGATAGGTCGATCCTGGGGCCAAAGATGGGTAAGGTTGGTATTCAGAGTCATGCTGTCACAGGTGGTTTTGAACTTGAGCAGCAAAAGTCAGAAGAAAGGACCAAGAACTCTGTCCCAAACAAACGCACTCGTACTTCTTTGGTGGATGTGAGGGTCTGTATCTTGGAAAAATTTCTACTACATTTGCCTTTTTCACTCA